TGGCAGCTTCTCTCCTATGAGCAGGATTCCTTGCAGGACCAGTGGTGACATCCTGTGTGCCCAGGTCTAAAGATGCAGGCATTTGCAAATGAAATATGTGCACAAACTCTCTGACGGAGGAAGCATAGAAACCAGCCTAGTTGGTGGATTGCTTTTTCATCTGTGTTTAGGGCAAATGTCAGCTCAGAATTTGCCAGCAGAACCTGAAAGGAGAAGGTTAAAAATCTCAGGAGCCAAGGAGACTAGAGCCTGTTGGGTTTTACAACCACCTGGAACCTTGTTAAATACAGACTCTGATTCTGTAGGTCTGGGTGGAGCCTGAGATTCTGCATTTCTAACAGGCTTCCAGGTAGTTGCTAGATGGGGGGCAGGGAGCTGGTGGTGTTTGGACCACACTGTGAGTGGCAAAGATGTACATCATAATAACATAAAAATTTGATGAAAGCACTAGGCAGAGTTAGTCGATGAGCATCTGGTACAACTTAGACACATGCTCAGGGTTCACAGGATAGTCACACTGCAAAATGCAACTCCGTTATAAGCAGAAACAAACCACCAACAACAGAGAGCATGTGCACCTCTCCAGAAACGGGGTTCCCTGCATTCCCAGGCTCGAGAGTCCTGGAGCCAGCGTGATGTCCGTATTTGCTTTATGTATTTCTTTCCTTAGCCACTTATTTAGTATTGCTGAACCAAAAGTAAAGTTATGACTGTCAAAAAGAAACGGGCTTTGAAAGAGGTAGAAACAATGCAAAGTTTTGTATGGAGGGATTTGGGAGGGGCATGTCACCACGTTGCCTCTCTTTTCAACTTGCCCTGCAGAATGAAGGGGCCGCTGTGACTCCTCTAGCAGCTCAGCCCCTGACAGGTGATCTGCAGGTGGGGGCCCAGGCTCGGGTATACAGTGACATTTGACATGCAGACCCAAGACTGTTCCTTTGAAGGTAAAGGAACCGACACCAGCTCCTTTGAGGCTACTGGGCCACAGGAGCTGTCACTTGGAGATTGCTGGAAGCTGGCTCTGGGAAGGAGCTTATTGATCATTTCTTCCAGCCTCCACATTCCACAGATGAAGAGGTGGAGCTGCAGAGAAGTTCCTCCCCTTGGAATCCATTTCTCCTTCACTTGCTGCTCTGACATACACACTGTCAGATCTTTATCCCAGAGAATTGCATAAAGTTGGGATCTGGTTTTTAGGATCTGGCCTTTTAGGTCTGTTTGTTTGGTTTCATTTTAAAGGACACCAGGATTGCCTGCATACCATATCTTCCTAGCTTGTATTTTGTACTGGAAACCATCTCCGTTTTGTCCATCCATTCTTACCATTAGGTTAAATCTTATAAATACAAATATCTATTATGATTTTAATAGGTTTGATATAATTCGTCAAACTTTCCCAAGTTGAATACTGCCGTTTCTGTTATTCTTCAAGTATTTATTGAGCACTTACTATGTGCCAGATCTATGCAAGGTAACAGTGATCTGGAAACTAGAGGATAAATAGCCCTCTCTTGCCCAGCCAGTTTTATGCTTGACTCTGCTGCTCCGGCAGCAAGCATGAAATTCTCAAACTGGTTGGAAGTTGTTCAGTTTTGTACTTTGGCAGGCCTTAATTTCAGAAATACTTTAAAATAAGATCATTCCTCAAGTCCCATTGGTAGAAGTTCTGCATGCCCTTCCCTGTCAATGGTCTGTTCAATATATTTTTTACCCATTGTTTTTAGTATCCAGGTTTCTTTAGGGTTCAGTTCTCCTTATAAAAGATTTAAGCTATCCTGAAGTATACAACTTAAAGCCTGAATTGTTTCATTCTTTTACTATTTTTCACTCTGCCCCCAACTCCACACTTCTCCCCAGAAACAATATACTGCAAATTGATAGGTATGCCCTTCATATGCATTTACAAATATATGTACATGCATCATATATAACACAAGTCAGATCATATTACACAGAGTCTTCTGTGATTTACACTTTTCACTTAATAGTATGTCTTGGTAAACCCCCCATTTTTAGCACAAATGAATCTACCTCATTCTTTTCCAGTAGCTATAGAATTCTATGCAATACCCATGGGAGCTCTGGTAGCATAGTGCCTAAGGCACTTCACTGCTAACCAGAAGGCTGGCAGTTCAAACCCACCACCCACTCCTCAGAAGGAAGGTTGAGCAATCTACTTCTGTAGTGATACTGCCACAGAAACCCAAGGAGGGGTCGCTATGAGTCGGGTCCAACTCAACGGCACATAAAATCAACAACAACAACCCCTGCCGAAGTTAACCACTCTGTGGATAACTGTTTAGATTGTTTGCTGTTTTTGTTTGTTTGTTTGTTGCTGCAGTAAACAATTATGTGTTGTATTTGGCTGTGTGTAAGTATTTCCATAGACTGGAGACTCCAAATGATCATTTCCTACATGAAATGGGTCTGATAAGCCCATGAGAACAGAACTGCTTGCCAATTGGCGAACACATTCTGGCCTGAATCTCGAGTTTCTCAGTCCAGGCTGGTCCTGTTTGAATTAGTTCAGGATTGCCTGAGAGTCTTCCCTGTTTGGCCCCTGCTGTCTGACTGTTTGAAACCTGGGGTTAAACTTGATAGATAAAAGCCTTAGTTTACAGTATTTAAGTACTTGAAAATGGTATGGATTTTTCTAAGCAGAAAGTGGAAAAGGGAATAATAAAGGGAGTTTCCCTGGAAATTGGATTACAAGCTCATATTCAACAGAGATTAGTCTCTTGGGAATGGAGATGGGTCATTCTTTTTGAAAAGAATGTTTTCATGTTTTTCTTCCCAGCTTATCCAACCCTGTGAAATAGCCAAAACTAAACACCTAATGAATTTGCTGTGTTGAGATGGTTTTTATTGCAAATAATAAAGTAGAGCAAGTTGTAGGCAGAACTCTATTGATGCCCCTCGCCCCAGGCTCCCATTCCCTGGTAAATTAATCACTTATCTGGGTACTGTTGTGAAAGAATTAAAGTTAGTAATGAACTGACCTTAAAATAGGGTGATGGTCTTGTATTATCAAGGTGGACAATGTAAGTACCAACCAAATCCGAATCCACTGTCCAGTCAATTCCAACTCATAGAGACCCTGTAGTATAGAGTACAACTGCCCATAGGGTTTCTAAGGCTGTACATCTTTACAGAAGCAGACTGCCATGTCTTTCCCCCATGGAGCAGCTGGTGGGGTCGAACAGGTGACCTTTTGATTAGCCACTGAGTGTTTTAACCACTGTGCCACCAGAACTCCTTAAATTTTTACTTAGGATTATTGTTGCTGTTAGGTGCCCTCGAGATCATTTCAGCCACATGGAACTGAATTCTTCCAATGACTTGAATGAGCTTACAAGTAGGTTTGTCCCCAGAACTTCTGAAAGGAATGCAGCTTTGCTGACACCTTAATTTTGGCCTTGTGGAACCTGGTATAGAAAATCAGTTGAGCCACACTGTGCCCAGAATTCTGGCCTATAGAACTATGAGATAATAAATGGATGTTGTTTTCAGCCACTAAATATGTGACAATTTGTTACAGATAACTAATACTCAGGGGTTGAGCCAACATCTGTGTGTTGGACACAGCTCAAATGGGCCATCAGGTAAGCTGGTACATTTTTAAGTTCTAAGCATCTAGAGCAGAGTAGGGTCCAATGTTATAATAAGAAGAGTAACCTCTATTTTCAAAGTATTAGGTGTCATTGTAGGTGATTTATATGTACTCTTTACCTTATTCCTCACAAGAGTTCTATAAGGGTTGATGCTTTTATTGTTGTTGTTATTGTTAGATGGTGTTGAGTCAACTCGGACTCAACTGTAGTCTTTGATGTTCATCAATAAGTGCTTCAAGTCATCTTCACTTTTTTTTTTTTTTAAAACAAGGTTGTGTGGTCTGCATATCACAGGTGTTAATGAGTCAGCATATAGATTGAAGAAGTATGGTGAAAGGATGCATCCTTAACACACAGCCTTCCTGATTTTAAACCATATAGTATCCCCTTGTTGTGTTTGAATGACAACCTTCTGATCCTCATGTGGTCCTCATGGACACAATTAAGTGTTCTGGAATTCTCATTCTTTGCAATGTTATCTCTAATGTGCTTTTATTATTATCCCTATTTTACAGATGAGGGAAGGAGACTCAGATAGGTAAGGTATCTGGGTCATGGATACATGGCTTATAAATATATCTGAGACTCAAACCCAGCTCTGTGGGACATCACACCCTATAGTCTATGCCTATGAACATTGTATTTCATAGTGTACCACCCAATTAAAGTACAGATTAATATATTCCATATCCAAAATCCCTGATATTTAAACTCTTGCTAAACACAAACAAAAATGCCTTTTGTCAAATCAAGCTCCTTGACCTTGTTTTAGTGCCCTTGGAATATTACACCACCAGATGCTGAGCATGGAGGAAAAGTTGGTTGGTCAAGGAAAAAAGAGACCTTCCAGGGTAGCCAAGCCAAAGTATAGTGCATGCTCTTACATTTCTGTTCAAATCCTTTGAGGTCCCACTTGTTCTAGATTATATCAAAGATTATTCTCTCTCTCCTCCATCAGGCACTCAATTACAGATGTAAAAGTTGTGATAGAGACATTTTTAGACCTTGAACATAAACATCAGGAGCCACAGGAATATCAAATGGAACAAATGGTGTGCGTAACTGACATTTTATCTGCAGGGCTGATGTGCCAATCTGATCTCAGTTGCATATTCAGAAATTGTGACCACAAATCCAGCCAGTGAAAAGTCTGTGCATGCAACAAGCTTGTCCATGCATTCGTTCATTCACACATTCAAACATTTAACAAATAAGAATTAAGCTTCTGTATTGTGCCAGGGTTTGTATTGGAAGCTGGGGATATACTGTGATGAATATGCCAACAATTTCTATGTCTATGGCTCTTCCAGGCTGATGAAGGAAGCATGGATAAACCATTGCAGGATAGTATAATAAATTCTGTGATTCACACTCAGAACACCAGAAATCATGGATCCTAAACTGGAGCATATAGCAAAAGAAGGTGTTAACCAGACAAATATGAGGTTAGGGAAAATGTCCCAGGCCAACAAAATATCCTGATGTAGGTTTGATCTAGAAACATATCTATGGCCATAAATGTATCTGGAGTAGGCAAAGAGGCAGGATAGCAAAGGATAAAGTTGAAGATGTTCACTGGGGACTGAGGTGGGAAAGTCCTTATACTATCTTAAGGAGAGTGAACTTTATGATAAGGGAACTTCAAAACCATAGAAAAATTAAGATGTGGGTGCTTTAGAAGGATCCTTCTGGTAGAAGAGTCAAGAGTGGGTGGAGGGCCGAATGGAGGCAGAGAGACTGTTGGGAGGCTAGAGAGGATGACAGTGTGTATGAAGGAAGGGTGGGAGTGGGAATGGAGAAAGGCAGTGGGTTCCAAGATATGTGGGGAGGAGGATCATCAGGATTTGGCCATTTATCAGCTGTGGGATGGAAGGAGAAGAGGGAGTCCAGGATGACAGCCAGGCCTGACTTGGCAAATCATTGTCCAAATATCATTCTGGGCTGACTGGCCCGAGTTGTGGTTGGCAGAGCCAAGATGGGATTACAGAATGCAATTTGTGAAAGTCCTGAGGAGTAGAGGATCAGCCAGGAAGCACAGCTTCCTTCTTTCTGTACATGGAACAGCAAGAGTGCCTCTGTGGATGTGTGTCTTGGGGATTTTAGAGCAAGAAACGCCTTTTGCTTGTTTTGAATATGCTGACAGATGAACAAAAGCATTCAAGAAAGCAAAGTTTCAACCACTTCATGAAGCAGGATGATATACAGTTTCAAATGCTTGTTTTCGTCCCCCACTCCTTGTTTTCTGTAGGAGAAGTATGCCTTTCCTATTGAAGGTGGTGGGTGCAGATTGCTCTGTGGACCTGGGGAAGGGTCAGTGCAACTGTAACCTACCCACCTCATATGTCCTGAGGTACTTTGATGTCTTGACAGGTGTCCTGACTCTTGGCCTTGAAGTATCCATCAACTGCCAGTCAACTAAGACCCAGCTCTGGGAAAAGCCTGCAGCCCTGGGACTTGGTGGCATTTGCTTTTGTTGAATGCCTGTGACTGTTATAAGCCTATCTCCAAGACCCGTTGCCAGGCTGATAGTCAGTCACTCAGGTCACTTACATGGTAATTGTACTCAGTCCTTTTCTTATGAGCATAGCTCGTCAGCAGAAGAAGGGAGGGAGATTTTCATAAGCAAGTACGTGAATTGCATTCAATGCCTGACAGTGGTTTACAGCTATCTACTGCTTTGGTCGGGAGCTCTGGTGGGGTACTCTCTAAGGCATTTGACTGCTAACCAGAAGGCTGGTGGTTCAAACCTACTAGCCACTCCTCAGAAGGAAGGTTGGGCAATCTACGTCTGTGGTAATGCCACCTTGGAAACCCAAGGAGGGTCACTATGAGTTGGATCTGACTCAATGGCAGTGAGGTTTTTTCTTTTCTTTTCTTTTCTTTTTTTTTTACTGCTTTGGTCTGCCCATTATCCATCATCTCTCCCTCTTCTAATACCAACCGCCAAATTTTCTTTGGAGAATTCCTTTCAGTTTGTAAGTTGTGAGCTGTTGCCCTTTCCTTAGTGCTGTATTAGAATTGAGCATGTGGCTCAGGCCAGCCAATTAAAGTCCTCTATTCCAAGACTTGATTACTCAGAGGCCACTCACTTTGGCTACAGTGATTGGTTCAGAGGTAAGCAAATGACCAAATTAAGCCAGTGAGTCTTATTTATGACACTCTGAGTTGGGACTGTTCATTCTTTAGAATTAGAAGCTGGGATGATAAAGTCTGGGGTATCTGTGGCCACAGCATGAAGAAAGGTATGCCTGAGGAGGAAGTCCAAAGAAAGAGGAAAGCAGACAGGTATGATGGGACAAAGAAAAACAGCAAGAGAGAAAGAGACAGACCCTTGGGGACGATGTCTGATCCCTTGAATTTGACTGTGCTCAAAGCCATTCTGTTCTTGTTGGGTGTCTCCAACTTGATTTCAACTTATAGTGACCCTATGACCTTCTCCATAGGGTCTTCTAGGTGGTAATCTTTACGGGAGTGATTGCCAAGTATTTCTCCACAGAGCCATTGGGGGGTTTGAACTGTCACCCTTGCAGTTAGCAGCCAGTGCTTAAATGTTGCACCAATAGGGCTCTTTCAAAGCCATCTTTGCCCTCATATTTAGTTACAAGAGACAGTAATGCCTCTTCTTTCCTTAAGCCAGTCTGAGTCCTGATAAATAGAAATTACTCCCATTTTTGAGTCTTGGTTCAAATTGATTCAGTAAGTAATTGCTGAGATCTATGATGGAAGCTGTAATTCAGAACTATAGGGAGTATCTGAGGCATAATATATCATAGTCATTACTATTGTAAATGAAAAAAAACCAAACTCACTGCCATCAGGTTGATTCTGACTCACAGTGACCCCCAATGTGTTTCAGAGGCGGTAAATCTCCACAGAAGTGGATTGTCCCATCTTCCTTCCACGGAGTGGCTGGTGGGTTTGAACTGCTGACATTCTGGTTAGCAGTCAAATGCCTTAGGTACTGTGTTACCAGAGTTCCTTACTATTACACAGTCATTAATTATTATATTGTTACAACTATTGAACTTCTGTTACCAGATACTTCTCAGCCCTTTGTATGTGTTATCATATGTGTCATTTGCTCCATCAAGCAACTCTGAATTAGAGATAATTATTAATATTTTACAGAAGAGGAAACTAACTGAGGCTCAGAGAGGTTCAGAAATATGCCCATGGTCCTTCAGCTAATCAGTGACAGGTTATGTATGGGTCATGATCTACTCTGGCTCCAAAGTTTGTGTACAACCTCTTTACTTTCTTGTTTCCTCCCCTTGGGTGGCTCACACTTGAGAGAGAGAAAGGACAAATGCAGGGCTCAGCAGGGCACATGAGGCTCCCCCTGCCCACCCAAGAGCTTAGAAATAAGATTGTACACTTAATGAAAACTGTGTGGACATGTTTTCCAAGTGATCCAGGGAATGGACCAGAGTAGAGATTTGCCAAGTTCCCTCAAACAGCCAGGATGTCTCCCAGCAAGCTAGGCTAGATTCCAACTGCCCAAGATAGACTGTTTCCTACAGGGTCTGGCTATAGGGAAGGAACTGTGCTTACCACACGTAGACATGCTAAGTTCTGCAGTGATGGTTTAGTATCATTGTAAATTAACAAACTGCATCTAGAGTATAATTTCACTTCCCTTGTGGGATTGCCTGCAATGACAGATTGGGTTGATCAGAAGGTGACGAGCCTTTGGGCCCATGCATCTATGAGAGTTCTCTGTGTAATATTATCACAAGGTATCCTCGCTTGCCATGGTAACTGCACAGGAGCTGGCTACTTGAGAAGCTTCGCTTTTAGAGACTGAGGTCCTCTGTGTGCTAGCAAAGCAGGTTTCAGAATCTCCTAGTTTCAAGAGCAGACCTGTACCACAGCACAACAACCATACTTTTAAGAAAAGTATGTTATCCCTATTACTACATTATCAGAAATAGCAAACACTAATCTATGGGTGGATACGTAGATAGACAGGCAAGAAGACCAGGTATGGGTAGGTGAGTGGGAATATAACCATGACCATGCATAGGTTGGTGGCACAGTGCCTAAGGCATTTGACTGCTAACCAGAAAGCTTACAGTTCAAACCCACCAGCCACTCCTTGGAAAGAAGACAGGGCAATCTACTTGCATGGAGGACTGCCTTGGAAACCCAAGGAGGGATCCCTATGAGTCAGATCCAAATTGACAGCAGTGAGTTTGGTTTTGGGTTTATGCATAGGTTGATGCTATAAACATGTCTATATGTAGTATAAACCTAACAGGAGGCAAAGTGAAGTTAACTTCTTAGCCATGACTAAGCACCTTGAGGGAGTGAGCTGATGGGCCTGTGGATTTGGGACCATGGTCTCAGGAGACATCAAGTTCAATTGGCACCACATAATACACTAAAATATTGTTCAACATATTACTTTGGTGAGTAGTGACTGGGGTCTTAAAAGTTTGTGAGCAACCATCTAAGATGCAACTATTGGTCTCTCCTCATCCAGAGCATAGAAGAGTAAAGAAAAAGATACATGGAAACAGTTAATCCAAAGGACTAATGGACCATGAGAACCTTAGCCTTTACGACCCTGAGACCAGAACTAGATGGTGTCTGGCTATCACTGCCAACCATTTGAAAAGGGATCAAAATTGGAAAACCAGGATAGAGTGAGAGAAAAAATGTGGAGCAAAATTTAAAAACATAAAAAAGACCACGTTTACTTGTCAGTAGAGATTCATGAAACCCCTGAGACTATGGCCCCAAGTCATCCTTCAGACCTGGAATTGAACTTACTACCATCACTTAACATTCAGCCTAACAATAAACAGGCTTACTAGACAACTACACTGGGGAGATGCACTCCTTAGAACAGTGAACCATGGGAGATCAGAAGGGCAGCATTTGCACAGGGAGAAAGGGAGGCAGGAATGTATAGGCAAGAAGGACATGATGTTATGTGCCGTGGAGTAGTACCTGACTCATAGCGACTCCTCCTTGGGTTTCCGAGGCACTATCACTAGTGGCTAAGACACTTGCCTGCTAACCAGACGGCTGGTGGTTCAAACCCACCAGCCACTCCTCGGAAGGAAGGTTGGGCAAGCCTACTTCCGTAGTGATACTGCCTCGGAAACCCAAGGAGGGGTCGCTATGAGTCGGGCCGACTTGACGGCACATAACAACAACAACAACAACAACACTACAGAAGTAGATTGCCCAACCTTCCTTGCAGGAGTGGCTGGTGGGTTTGAACAGCCAGTCTTCTGGTTAGCAGTCAAGTGCCTCAGGCACTACACTACCAGAGCTCTGGGTAATCACAGGGAGGCAGTGGGAAGAGAGAGGCTGCCTGCAGGGAATGCAATCAGAGTCATAAAACAAAATATGTATGAACTGTTGAATGTAAAATGAATCTGCTTTGTAAAATTTCACCCAAATCTCAATAAAAAGTTAAAAAAATAAAATAAAACTTCATACAAATCTTAAAAATTCTTAGGAGATAATACTGGAGATTATAGTCTTGGAGGGGGGAGAGTCTCTGAAACAAGGAAAAATAAAGCTTGTTGTCCCTTTAAAGTGTATTGTTCCATACACACACCTATGCCCCTTGTGAGAGAGGGTAAACCCATTTGCAGACAGAGCAACATGCAGTTTGGTGTTAAATGGACTTGAATTTGAGAACCAGCACCACCGTGACTAGGAGCAGGGACAAGTTTTCCAACACTCTGAAACTAAATTTCCTCGTGTTAAACATGAGATTACAAATAGGAACTACTTCCCAGGATGGCTACAAGACATAAAATGGAAGGAAAAAAAAAAAAAGATATGCAAAGTGTTTAGCAGGGTACCTGCTATAGTTGTACTCATTAGCTTTTGTTCTTGTTGTGAGGTGCTATCAAGTAGGCTCCCAACTCATGGCAACCCCATGCACACAAGGGGTCACCACATGTCAGAGTCCACTTGACAGCACCAGATTTGGAGTTTTGGTATCAAGTGACCAATGTGGGCAATTGGAGCTTAATCCCACAGGGCACTCAGAGAGCCAGTATAGAACACATGCCTCCGAGTCATCCTATTTGAGGGACAAGAGAGAAGGTATATTTATACACTACCTTCAGACACTTGTCAGTTTGTTGTACTGTAGTGGCTTGCATGTACCTGTGATACTGGAAGCCATGCCATTGGCATTTTCAATACTAGCAGGGCTGCCCATGGTGGACAGGTTTCAGCAGAGCTTCCCGACTAAGACAGACTGGGAAGGAGGGTATGGTGATCTACTTCTGAAAACATTGGCAAGTGAAAACCATAGTTAATAGCAATGGGATATTGTCTGCTCTAGTGGTGGAAGGTAAGCCTTTCAGGTTGGAAGACACTGAAAATACAGCAGGGGAAGAGCTGCCTTCTCAAAGTATATCAGCCTTAATGACATGGATGGAGCAAAGCTTTCAAGACCTTCATTTGCTGATGTGGCACTAAAAAGAAGAAGAAACAACTGTAAACAGCCATTAATAATCAGAATGTGGAATGTACAAAATATGAATCTAGAAAAAGTGGAGGTCATCATGAAAGGAATGGAATGCATAAAGAAAGTGAGTTGAAATGGACTGGCGTTAGCCATTTTGAATTGGACAATCATATGGTATACTATGCCAGGAATGGTGTCACATCATCATCAGAAAGAACTCGCCACCAGAGCTCCTATAATGCTGTCAGTGAGGTATAATGCTTATGCTTTCAAGGAAGACCAATTAATATGACTATTATTCAGATTTTTGCACCAGCCACTAATACCAAAGATGAAGAAACTAAATATTTTTTATCAACTTTTGCAGTCTGAAATTAATCAACCATGCAATCAAGATGTATTGATAATTACCAGTGATAGGAAGGCAAAAGTTGGAAGCAAAGAAGAAGAATTGGTAGCTGGAAAACATGGCCTTGGTGATAGAAAAAGATGCTGGAGATCACATGGTAGAATTTTGCAAGATCAACGACTTATCCATTGCAAATACCTTTCTTCAACAACATAAATGATGACTATATACATGGACCTCACCCGATGGAATAGATACAAATCAAATCGACTACATCTTTGGAAGGAGACAATGGAGAAGCTCAATATCATCAGTCAGAACAAGGCCAGGGGCCAGCTGCGGAACAGACTATCAATAGCTCGTATTCAAGTTCAACATGTAGCTGAAGAAAATTAAAACAAGTCCACGAAAGCCAAAATATGACCTTAAATATGCCCCACCTGATTTTA